ATTAGTGTGTATATTTTTTTTTAGGTGAGCAGCCACTGCTCCTTTAGTAAATCAAACCTAGAGTGCATCTTTATTTCTATTTGGCATGCAATTGCAGCCATGCACTTTTATGTAATAGGAAAGGCATTCTTAATTACTTGTTTCATTCCTCAGCTGTTAAACTATTATTGAAAGCAGCAGACAACACACAAGTTTTAAATCTAGACAGGAGTAACCATCTCAAAAAAGGTGCCCATACACCTTGCGATCGTACGATAATCGCGGGAAATCCTGCGATTGTACGATAATCGGCAGGTGTAAGGAAGGCGTGCGACCGTTTCTACTGTACGGTTGCACGTCTTTTGTCTAATGAGCATGTTTAATCGTACGATTGTCGGCGGGTTTGTGGCATGCTCGTAAGACAAATGCCAAATGGGCCAGTGTGCGCAAGCGCACACTGCCCGTTCAGCATTGCAGTCAGCGGAAGCCCGCCCCGTAGCGGGGCGGGCTTTTGATGATCGCAAGTACGATCTGCCTGTCCAAGATGGGCAGATTGTACAAGCTTTTAATTAGCTTGCAACCATCGCAAGACAAAAAAGTCTTGTTGTGATGGTTGTAAGGTGCATGGGTACTTTAAAGGAGAACTATGGGGTCAGTGTTTTTCCCCATAGTTCTCCTTAGGGTAACGGGAGGACACAAACTAGCGTCCTCCCGTTACCCTAAGCTCAGTATACCGCGAGCTACAGCTCGCGGTATACTGAGACGCCGCAGCCGGAGCGGATCCCGACGTAGATGACGGGATCCGCCCAGCTGCGTGAGTGACAGCTGGCTCTGCCTATCTAGAGGCAGAGCCAGCTGTACCCGCCCCCTCCCCCGTCCGTTCCGCCAGTCAGCGCTGGCAGATCGGAGCGGGGAGAGGGGAATCCAGCCCCTCCCCCTGTCACGGCAGAGAGCCGTGACAGGATCGAGAGGTGAGCGAACCCGGTATGTGTTCGCTCACCTCCCGATCTACTGAGCCGACCTGTGACAGTCTCATTGTCACAGGTCGGCTAGAACTATGAGGTGAGTGGAAATCACTCATCTCATAGTTCTCCTTTAACCAGCTCTCATTCTCTTAAAATCTATCAAAACCTTAAAATGCTGCCAGCGCTGTATACAGTCCTGAGAATAAAAAAAAAAAAAAACACAAGCACTACTGACCGGACTTTGCAAAGGCAGATGCAGTAAACATTTACGGGGCTATTCACAAAAGGGTGAAGGGTTTGGAGAAGACAGAAAAAGTGAACAAGATTCTAGGACAACATAGCTGATAAAATTCTCCAATTCAGCTCACTTTCCAGCTCAGCTATGTTGTCCTAGATTGTTCACTTCTCCTGCATTCTCCAAACTCTTCACCCTTTTGTGAATAACTCTGTTAGAGCATGATGACCTAACATGAGAACCGGTACCAGACAGCCTGTTTGTGAAGCCCGTCTCCCTCACCTGAAAAGGTTTACTAAAAAAAGGCTCAATCCAGCAAGGCAGGAACTGCCCGAGCTACGGCTCGTCTCGCCAGACCTGCAATACTCTGATGAGTCACACAGCATAGGATAAGCAGTTCCATGTAGCAATTACATAAAATAAATATTAGATCCCTTAATTGTGTGCACTATTTCCTAAAAGCATATGACCAATTTTGAAGCCAAATTGGAATAAAACCTATATGTATATTTGTTACATGTTCTCATTCACATAGCACAACCTCTTTTTTTTATTAATTGCTGCTTGCATATTCCATGCCCGGTGTTGTGAATGAAAAGTCGCTCTGTATGGCATTTTGCTCTGGAATGCAAGGGGGGCTGAGCAGGATAATGTTAACAGAATTAACTCTGCGTGTACTGTGCTGGCAGAATCACATCATTTGTAAACTAGATTTCAACATTGTCCTAACAAAGGGTTAAATATATCGAAGCATTGTATGTTAATGAGGGGAAACTCAGCCAGTCCCTAGTCTTTCTATGGTCAGAGTTTCCGGTCACTTGGGAAAAAGGGAGAGAAGCTCCCAAAAGCCTGCTACACAGACATCTAAAAAGGTATAAGGTAAGAAATATATTTAAAAGGTATGCTGTGTGAATGGGAAGACAAACATATTGTGGGGATCTATTGCTCCTTTATACTAGGGGAAAGTAACATAGAAATACTTACCTTATTCTTATACGGTACTTACGTTAATCTGTGGTCCCAAAACAACCAGGGCTCCTCTTCGTGTAGACCTTCTTGTGGACCAGGAACGTGCGGTCAGGGGAGGCAGGCAGGTTGGACCAATGGCGCTTTGCCATTGGTCCAAGCCATCCACAGAGCTCACGCCTCTAACACAGAGTAGGGGGCTGTGACAGCTCTTGCCTCACCAAGTTAGGTTACACTAGTAGAGGCAGAGCCTCACCTAGTATTATAAAGGAAAAAAAGGTGTCAGCTTCAAGTCTGAAGCTGACAGCTTTTTCTCCATTCAGTGCGGCTTGTTGCAGGTTACACACCAGGGAAATCCTCCCCGCTGTGTAACCTGTCATTGATGGAGCGCTGCCTGTTAATTACAGGCAGCACTGCATCCGGCTTTTGACAGGTAGTTAGGTTACATAGCAGCAGGCTTCCCCACTGCTTTGTGTAACCTAACTTGGTGAGGCAAGAGCTGTCACAGCCCCCTACTCTGTGAGCTCTGTGGATGGCTTGGACCAATGACAAAGCGCCATTGGTCCAAACTGCCCAATCAAAAAAAAAAAAAGAAAACCCACTGAGGCCATGGGGGCCGATGCCTCAGCCGTGAGGGACAGGGAGGCTCCTCCCTTCCTCCGCCACACAGCTTGATTACCAAACTGGGGATTAATTGTATGCAATTAATTGTATGCTGTTTGGCCAGCTCGATGCCGATTGGCCTGGAAGCCGTCTTCCTGGGAGGCGGGTCATTACTCGCCACCCAGCTTCTTGATCGCACTGGAAGCTGTCTCCATGTTCCCCTACGGCACTGCCAGTCAGAGGAAATCTCCCTATGACCGAAAGTTTCGTTATCGGGGGAAGGTATCGGAGCATTTGGGCGAGTACGAGTACTCGCCCAAATAATCGGTACATTCCTAGATGATATATATCTATATAGAGATAGATATCTATCTATCTCTATATAGATATCTATATATAATTTTTGTATTTGTTTTTAAAGTGACATTAAAAGGCTAATTCCCCCTCCCCCTCCCAATGTTAGTGTAAGGACTTGCTTTAAATTATGCCTATTAATCCGATTATCTTCTTCTTTAGTGTAGTTTTCAGCTGTCCCTCCAGCGCTGGTGCGCCGAGTCCAGCGCTGACTCCTCTGTCCTCCTCTTCTCTCATGTCCCACGGTGTCTGTGCTGGTGCACGCAGCTCCATAGACCTTGTGTCTCTCCTAGTCTCCCGGCCGAACAATTAAAGTGCGCATGCGCCCGCCCCAAGATCCTTTGCGGCTGCCCTAGACTCTTCAGATGTTCAGACGGGAACGTGCGGCGAATACACAGGTAAGTTTAAACCGGTTTGAAAGGGTTTTTTTTTAAGTTTTTGCATACAATCGACTGCTTGCTAGCAGTAGATATATGCAAAAACACGCTGGGGGTTTATTAACCCTTTGACTTGCAAAATTAGTGTATGCAGAAGTGACATCATTATTAACCAGTTGACATCCATGGTGTTAAACCCCCTTCCCATCCAGGCCATTTTTCAATATTCAGCGCTGCGCTACTTTGACTGACATTTATTCCGTCATGCAGCGCTGTACTGAAATGAATTTTATACCCTTTTTTGGGGACAGATAGAGCTTTCTTTTGGTGGTATTTATTCACCATTGGGGTTTTTATTTTTTACTATATTAAAAGGAAAAATTACCGAAATAAAAAAAAAAAACAGTTTCCCCTATATTAAATGATAAAAACATTTATTATTACCCAATTTTTTGGTAAAATATAAAAGACGGGGTCACGTCGGGTAAAAAGACACCAAACATGTCAAGCCTTAAAATTGCGTGCGCACGCAAAACCTAAAAAAACGATAATACCCAAAATTGGCCCTAGGCGACGCTTTAAAAGCTGTTACCGCTCATCAGTTTAGTGTTATCAGTGATTGATGGCCCT